GGGCTGCTCCGTTCTCTCTGACCGGAGGAAGGCTCCTACAGATCGCACGCCCGCGCCCAGCTGTGTTTTGAAGGTGACACATGCTGTAGTTTCAGAAAATTAAGAATAAAAAGAAAAGCAAACCCGAATGGATTTGCGCAGGCTTTGCCAAGGGAGCGGGTTTCCCTGGCCTGGGGGCTGTAACAGTGCCTGTGTCCCTTGCGAGCAGGTGGAATCGCTGTACCCTCGTCCTGGCTGGGTGGAGTTAGAGCCTGAGCTGCTGTGGAGTCAGTTTGTTGCTGTGGTAAAAGAGGCTGTGCAAGGTAATGGCTTATAAAGTTTGAGAAAGTAATTAATAATTCATGAAAATTAGTTAATTAGATAGTAACATTATTCTTTTTTTTAAAAAATACTGAAAATTCATCACTAAGCACAGGTCTACAACGTGCTTTAAGACCTACTTAGTCGCTATGTGAAACAGGACACCTGAATTACTTTTTTCTTTTAGTGGGGCCAGATTAGGGCTGACACAGCACCGGCAGCAGTGTGCACATTCGATGTACGTGTCGGCGACAGTGCCGTGTTGCCCCAGTGTTGCGTGTGTGTGTCCTTCCCCAGCGGCTGTCTGCCTGCCTGTGCCTCTGCCCGAGCAGAGGGTGGCCTTGGTTCCCCTGCTGATTCCCCGTTGTTCTGCTGCCGCTCTCTGCGCATGGATGTGATGCTGCGTGGTTGTGCTCGCTGGATTGCAAGCCGATATTCCTACTTTCCCCATGCAAGCTACAAACAGTTCTTACTATCCAGTTGCTGTGTTATTGTTCTTTTCTATTTGTACTTTAGCTTGAAATTTTCCAGTATTCCGTGCACTGAAATTCACACAACTCCCTTTTCTGCTGGACTTCTGATGTCTGGGGTTTTTTTCCCCTGCCTTTTCTGGATTCTTTTTTAACCACGTGCTTACTCTCTACAATTCCTACAGCCTTCCCATTATACCAGCTCTAGCAATCTGCAATCCAGCATGGATCACCTTCTGTGCCACACTGATACTGTGGACCTGTCAACTGCACCCCAGCTTGCTTTCTCACAGTGCCCCAGCTTCCTTGTCATGTGTGTGTGCGTCATACTTTTTCTTTTGGTGCCTGAAGTTCCTCCTGCTCAGCCCCTCTTGCACTTTGGTCTCCAAGTGTTGCTCTGCCTCCAAGCCTGACTCAAGACAAAGCTGCTCTTGTCTCTTGTTCTGGAAGGCAGCCTAGTGGACAGGGAACGAAATCATTACCAGGTGTAAGCTGCAGCTGATTATTTTGGGCTCCTGTTCTGTTTTCTCAGCAGCCATGACTGTTTTGTCACAAGAATAGCAATGCCACTTCTACTCCTAAAGACCTTACTAGCTTCATCCACTCCGATTCTGTGGGGCAAATCAGGAAGGAAATTTTTTTGGCTGATTGTAAAAGAGGAAGCTTTTCTTGTGGCCAAGCTGTGCACACTGTTGGCAAGTTGTTTTTTTTTAAGTGGTTGTGTAACGTAAGTGAGCGTAAGCCCACACCGCTGTCAAAAGAAGCGGTCCCTCCCTTCTGCTTATAGGCTTGTTTCAAGTCCAGAGCAGTTTCCCGAGTCAGATCACTGTGCGGTTGTTTATGCCAGCAGAGCTTCAGCAGTGTTTGTGCCAGCGCAAGAGAGGGTGTGGTACCAGGGACAGGAATGACTATCTGGAAGCAGAAAGAAGGCGTAGGAGCACTTTGGTTTACAGGGCTTGTGGAGCTAAAACGTGATCCTGTGCATGATGGATGAGCTGACCTAGTTCAGCCCTACCTGAAGGTGGAATCTGCTTCTGGCTGCATGGGCCCACCCTTCTCTCTCACCTTGGTGCTAGTTCATCCCTTCCAGGAGGCAGCTTGGCTGAAAAACATCTGTGTTTGTCTTCTGTTTTGTTTTTCTCTTCAATAGGAGTTAGCTCTGCTCATGTAGGGGTCTAGAGAGCATGATAGCTGGCACAGGGAAGATGATGGGGGCATGCAGGCTGTGGAGATGGGAGCGAGTAAGACATGCCACTAACCCGCAGGGAGCTGCAGCGGTACTGCTACAGCTTTGCCTTCGGCTTAGACCCAGCTGCTACTGAAAAAGAAATACTGCACTTTTCAGGCCACCCACTCCCAGGTGCTCCTCCCGTACACTCCCACTGCCAGCAGCACTTGCACCAGCAGCTGGAGCAGGTAGCCTTGCGAAAGCACTGATTTAATTTTCAGCTGATGGAGGACCTTGATAAGCACTGCCTGCAGGAATACAAGGACTGGTATAAGGGAAAGTGCAGAACCACATGCAGAGATCAGCAGAGCAAGAGGTGCCTTTTCTCTGTGAAATCCTAACTGCACGTGAAACTTAACGTAAGAACATGTATGAGCAGGACCTACTTGACCTGTGATTTACTCAAGTAGTGGGGCTGAGAGCCCTTCAGAGTAACAGTACTTTGGAGAAAACAGGTAGACTATCACTTAAGTGGAACTTCTTAATTTCCCCCCCACACACACATAATTTTGCTTCTGAACGCATGCATGGAGGTACTTGGGAAGCTGACTAGAGCTGCTTTGAAAATAGCAGTGGACATACTTAATTATTTACAGTTATATATATTACAAAAAGTGTTCTGTAACAGTTATTTGAAGGTAAAGTTTTAACAGCAGAATTGGTGTATACCCAAACATAGATTTTCATACTTCTGAAGTACGCTTTGTTGCATTCGGTGTTACGTGGTTTAAGCAAAGTTGTTCTTATGAATTGTGAAAGATTGCTTAAGGAATATAACATTTGAGGTGAGACATGTCATTGTTAAAGTAATGTAAAAATCATGGCATATTGACATTGATCTCTTTACTGCCTACAGAATCAGTCTAGTTTTGTTTCTTTATGGAATTTCTTTCTGTAAGTTGGCAAAGGTCCTTCTGTTTGTGTTTTTGTTTGCACACACCCATGTGAAATGCACATCTTAATTGATTAGATAGATATATGTAACCTACCTGCCTGCCTCTGGGATTGTTCAATTAAGGTATCAACAGGTCTGTCAGAAGGTGGAAAGAGTCAGAGTGCCACAACTGCTTTTGTAAAATACATAGATTTATGTGCCTGCTTTGGAATCAGTTGGTCTGACTCGGAATTCTCTGATATTTCACTGCTCTGGCCACTTAGTTGGCCAGTCTGTAGAGATTTGTAGTCTTTTAAATTATTAATTTCCAAAGTATTCCTTGGGTTTTGTAGTTATATTGGGAAAATTGTATTTTTGTTTGTTTCTTCAAATAAATGCTGCTTTTGTGTGTGGTTTGTTTTTGTCTTTTAGCTGCGGGACTTCACATGAGGCAAATTGCTGGTCTAGGCATCTCGACGCAGAGAGGAACTTTCATTACATGGCACAAGTGGGTATATTGTGTGTTGTTTGAGATGAGTTTGTAGGGATTTGTGTTCATAGACTGGATGGAAGCAGGCTGTAGAAATGTTGAACTCGGTGAAGTCACAACCTGGAAGCAACAAGTGTCAGTCACTCATGTTCGCTTGTGTTCGCACAGCCACACCTTACAGCAGTTCAGAATGGTTTACAAGCGTATGTCCTTTTTGTTTTGTTCTTAGTACTTTGGAGGAGATTAATATGTAGGTTTTTTCTTTTAATTCTGGTGAGAAGCCTCACACCCAAGAAGTCTGTGTGCCTATTACTAATTCTGCAAATTCAACAGGAGGACATGAACTTATTTTAGGAATTGACCTAATGTTGAGTGTCCTGGGCAGAAATGGTGAATAATGTTGAATTTTTGGGGCAGTATATGTTCTGTAGTTTTAAATGGGAATGTTCAAATACTGTTTTTCAGGAGGACAGGGAAACCTTTTCATAATTTCATAAGTTGGCAAGACTTAAGAAGTGCTGAACTTGTGAATTCCTGGAATAAGTCACTTCTGCTGAAGGTAAAACTGTGCTAAGCCAGATACTGCTTGGAGGTATTAGAACTGTTTCATTTTTATGAAGAGTAGGGGCAATATATGAAATACTGCGAATGTCTTGTTAACACATTAGTGTGACATGCTGTGGCCTAAAAACATTTAACTGAGCAAGGTAGGCATGGAAAATAGTAGCCAGGAAAAAATGCGGTACTGATAGCCTGGAGGTAATCAATTACAGGAAAAGATACCTGTAGGTCTAGCAGGCTTTTTGTTACTTTTTAGTCTCTCTGTTGTATTAAAATGTTGCACGTGAACACTGCTACAGTGGGGGTATTTTTTGATGTAGGCAGTTCTTCATTGGCAGTGTCTTGGGTTTTTGGGTGTTTTTTTTTTAATGTACTCTTTGCTCAAATTATCTGTAGAAGATACATATTATGCTGCTCATGGCGTGTGCTTCATACCTTTCAAAGAGAAAGATTTGCTCTAAGTGGGAAAACTGAAGTTACTTTTCCTGTAAGTGGAAACTAACTAGCACACCTACAATAAGAAGTTAAATTCTTGGTTCTTCCGCAGATTTCTTTTGTGAACAAAAACTTGATTGATGAGTACATTTTTGTTAGTCTACTAAAATGTGATTGAGCCTGTCTACTGTAGGGGAACTTTCACTAGAATAGTAGTACGTGACGCTGTCAACCACATCATGCATTGCTCACCTGTGGGTGACCTGTCTTCGTAATGCAGAGCAGCCCTGGTCAGTGTGCTAGCAGAAGTCGGTAAAGCAGACTTGCTCCGTGCAGCTGCTCTTTCCTGCGGTATTTGTTGTGGGAAGGCTATCTGCTGAAATCCTATGTAAGGATTCTCTAACAGAATTTTAGCTTTCTGAATCTAATCTTATGTCAGCAGGTTTCATCTGTGTTATCCTTTAAAGATAATTGATCAGAAACCTTTAAAGGGAGAGATTAAAAATTAGGTAACTGTTTTCTTTTGAAACAGGTAATCCATGTTATTTTTACGGTACTTCATTTCTTGACTGGGAATGATCGCTATTTGGCACCAAGTTTTCTTACTTTTTCAACACAACAAACTTCTATGAAGTTGTCGTGGGTCTTCAAAAACATGTATGAGGTAAGCTGGAAAGGGAAAAATAATACCTTTCTTAAGTCATAATAATGGCTAGTGACTTAGGTTTGTTGTAACCTCTTCAGCTTTGTCTGGCTTGTTCTTTTCCTCACAAGAACCAGAATGAAAGACTTTTGTCTGTGTTAACATTCAAAGTCTATCTACATAAATATCTACTCACTTTTGTACAACTTTTTCCTCTGATTCTGGAAATGGGTAGTAGTAAAAAGTTTTCTTCATGCGTAAGAAATGTAATTGAATCACCTCATTTCACTTCATATAATGATACAATTAGTAATTGTACTTTGTTTTAAAGTTGTTTGCACTCTAGTTTTGCATGACAATTGTATGTATTTTCAGCTGGTACTCTTATCTTTCCACTCTGGATTACTCCAGTGTTTACAGTTTCACAAATAATATAGTACTGAGCAATCAAACACTGCAATATTTTTTGTATTTTGTCGTAGTGTAAATTGGAAACTACAAGTAAAATAAGTTGTGCTGGAATAATTTAATGCACTAGTGAGCACTGAGCTATTTGTTGCTGTATTCTTTCCTCTAACCCTTACCATTTTCCTTATTTCTTCCTATTGTATGTATAAGTTCAGTTGTCCTATTTTCTATGTTAATTTTCAAGTTATTTTTTAAGAAAATGGTGATCATCGATTTTCTATTGTGTATAAAGAAACCCCGAAATCTTTTGAGTTCTGTCTGGTATTTTCTGTCACAAAACTGGCTATTGGGCAGGTATAGTTTTTTACTGGCATGTTTTGGTTGGACCTGTTGAAAATGTGAGGTGTGCATTTGCCGGATTATAGAATTGGAGGTTATGCAGCTGCTGAGTTTTCAGTGCGAGGTGAACATTCTCCCACTTCTGTCAGGCACTGATACTTAAAATATGTAACTATCAAACCAAGAAGCTCAAAAATTCATGGCTCTTAATTACAGAGAATAATGTATTCAGCCATGTTTTGAGTGAACTAGTTTGTGTGTTCTTTTTCTGAATTCTGTAGCTGTACACTGTATCAGTTAATAGAAATTAGATGAAACATGAATTTCTGATTTTTAAAGGGGGAAAAAATCCCAAGGAAAATAACATTTTAAACTCTTTACAGACATCATGAACTGGAAAATGATAGCTCTGTCTTTATTGTTCTCAAGCACATACTTTAAAATAGGCTTATTTCTTCTGTTTCTGTTAATTTTTTATTTAGTGCAGTATGCAGGACCTTGTTTTCTTAATTCACCGCTCCTTCACCACTGTTATAATTGTGACTATAAAGTTTTCCTTCCTAAGGCTGTGATGCAACCACAGTAGAAGATTATTTGCTTTTCTTTACTTAGCAGCAACTGTAAGAAACTCTGCTTATTTTCTTTTAGGAGCATAAACGGTAGGATAACATTACTTACATAGCTGACTCACTCTTTTTTAGGAGAAATACGGACAATCAGAGACTTATTTTCTGGGGATGTTACCATTAACCACAAAGAAAATGAGAAAAGGAAACAGGAAATACGTTCCTATTTATTGTACCCAATTGTAAATACTTTTTCTGTGTGTATATTTGTTCCCAGGCTGAAGAAGCTGCCAAAAAAAATTACTGCTGCTTTGGAACAGTTGACACATGGTTACTGTATAGATTAACTAAAGGTGAGAGTTACAGTTCCTCTTAAAGATTAATAAAACATACTGGGATCTAGATGATGATGTTCATGACTGTCATTGATATTTCCTAGAATTCAAATACTTTTTTGACAATTTGTGCATTTTTTAAATAATTGATGAATATTATAATTACAAAACACTTCTGAACTAATTATTTTTTGGGCCTGCCTGGAAGGGTAGTCAGAAAGGGAAATAATTATTCAGTGTAATCAACCTTTTAAGCACATAGGATTTGAAAAGGACTACTGGAACTAATTGGCCTTCATTGAAGAAAAGTACCCACGACAGAAAAAGAACAAGTAACTGTTATAAATGCGGAAAAATAGGAAGTTTCTGTCCTGAGGGCTAATGCGTGAGCATTTGGATGGATTATGATGCAGTCAGTGTTGTACGTGTTGTCAAAAGTACCAGCTCTCTTCTAGCCAGTTTCATGAGGGTAAAATAAGGTAATTAATATATACACATTATAGCGAGCGGCGGGTAAAGTTGGTGTGCTCGTTGTATCACTATGACTTTGCCTGTAGACACTCAGGTTTATATTTCATGGGAGCCACTGACATGTTTAAAGAAAAAGTGTGTTTAAAATGACTCTTCAATATTTGGGTATCTAAAATGTTACTTTGTTCTTTTTTTTTATGGTAGGTTCTGTGTACGCTACAGATTACTCAAATGCCAGTGCTACAGGTGTTTTTGAACCCTTTACGGTATGTGCTGTTCCAGAAAAATACTGTTGCTCCTCTTTGTACTTCTGAGAAACTTACTGACATTTTTACTTTTTCAATATTATTTCAGAAATGTTGGAACCCCACTTTGTGTAATTTACTTTCCATTCCAATGTCAATTTATCCTCCAGTGAAGGACACAAGGTAACTATTGAAGACATATTTAAAAGAATATGATACCTGTTAATTTAGTTGCCTTTAGAAAAATACTACATAATCTGCACAGGTAAAGTAATACATAGATACACATACACAAAAAATATTTTTATATGCAGATGTACTTTTCAAACACTACATCCAAAATTTTATTTTTGCTATCAGTGTTTCTTAAAGTAATTGTTTTAATGCTTTCTTTAAAATAAATCGGTAGCATTATCTTTCGTATGTGATGCAGACCTAGGCCTTATATATCTAGATTTCATTTTAACATCAAGGTCAATGTAGTATTGTGATGTTTCTCCATAACATTTGTTTTAAGCTTCAACTTCGGATCAGCTGACTCTGAAATATTTGGGGTACCTATTCCAATAATGGCAGTGGTGAGTGAAAATGTTTTCTTACTTAAATCTGTATATTTGTACCTATGTTCTTTTTATCTGGCTTTGATTTAATACGTGCTTGTTTGGTAAGTATTCTCTATTCCTTCTCTGTGACTTAACTACAATAGATGGTTGTTGAATTTTTCTCCAAAAACTCAGTTTACAGCCTTAGGGGGAAAGGAGGAGAGAGAAATGGGAAGGGATTTCTAGAAGTTGCGGTACATTAAGGTTAGATGATTAAATGATTGAGCACTGAGTGTAGGACTTAACAGGGCCAGGTTCTGCTCTGAGCTCTGGTAGCATGTCTCTCTGGTTTAAAATCAGTTGTTACATAGAACATTGTGCACTGGGGTCCATCCTGCCTTGACTTCACGAAGACTCTATGCAAATGTAAGAGTGTTTGTCAATAGATCTGCTTGTCGTAGCTCTTATGTATTTTTTTCACTAAAAAGAAATGGAGAATAACATGTTCTTGCCTCAGTAGTTAGAATTTGAATAAGAAAAACCTATTTTTTTTGTAAAGTGATGACTTTTAGAAAAATCTGCTTGAATTGAGCTAAATGGAAAAAATGTTATCAGACATCAATTTCTCTTGCTATTTTTAAAGAGTTGTAGACTCAATTTATCTGTAAATTTACAGTTTCGGCAAGGCACAAACATAAGTAAATACATTTAATAACCATCATCATTGTTGAAAAATTGAGCATGGAATTGTTTTGTGCAGGAGGGGTAGCAGGGAAAAAGGAAGGCAAGACCTCCAGACTTCAACTTTCTATTTGGGGGAAGAGGAGTTCAAGCCAAGCTACTCTGTTCTGCTCCCTAGCATTGCAAATGCTTCATTTATCCTTGTCAAATACTAAACCATAAAATATTTCTTTTGTTTCCATAACACATTTTTCAGTGTTGCAAGCAAGACTACAGATGTTCAAGTTGTGTCCAAACCTGGTGTAATTTGATTCTAGTGATACATCTGACTGTTAGAATGGCCTACAAATACTTAAGAAATTGTATATGAGTCCTCTTTTAATGCTCAGTTCCTTTATGAGTCGTTGTTTGTATTCAAAACTCTGAAGTGTTTGCATTGATATTTTAAAATCCAGCAGCATTGTAGGCTTGTAGTTGGTAGCTAACTTGTCGTATTGGTTTTGTTGGGATGGCAGGTAGCTGACCAGCAGTCAGCCATGTTTGGAGAATGCTGCTTTGACCCAGGAGATGTTAAACTGACAATGGGAACAGGTGGTTTCTGGGATGTGAATACTGGAGAGCATCTCTTTGCATCACGGAGAGGTAAGCTAGTGAAATTTCAGTTTTGGAGTATTTCACGTTACTTGACAGCTGTTAATGATGAGGGTACAAAAAGGATCAAAACAGGACTATGCTTTTGCTTCTGTCTTTAGCTGTAGAAAAACAGCTTGAAAGTGTTTTCGGAACAGAAGACTGGAAATTTTTAATTAGAAATGTAGATATTGGTTATCCTGAAATATGCTTTTCAAGAAGAGAATTTAAGTAACATCACTAATAATTATGTCTGCTACTTGCATCCCTTCTTGTTTTTTTTCGCCACCCCCTTCACCTGTTCTTCTTGATAGCAGTATTATACAGTACAGAAATGGAGAAAAAGGGGACTGGTCCTCTGGCTTCTCACATCAAAATGTTCCAGTGGATCACTGTAAGTTCCTCCTCTTGAGCCCCTATGCTTTGAAGTACGTGCAATGAGATAATGCAGGATTAGCAATTATTAGTTTTCTTTTAAAAAATACTAGAATGTGTTTCTAGTGTTTAAAACCTTGTTATTCTGAACATTGGTGGTCTGTCAAGCTTGTTAATTTGTCATAGATGGCTATTTGTCAAGAGAGCAACAGACAATATTGAAGTAAACTTGCCTGCGCAGTCTGTGTCTGTCATACTTCTTAACAGTTACTAATTTCGGGAGGCCTACAATTTAAAATGGAAGGGGTGGGGCTGGGGAGAAGGTCGGTAGTGTGCGAAGCAGACTTTTACCAGCTAAAGTCTGGAAGGACCTTGGCAAATACAGGAGGTGTGTCAGAACTGAATAGCATTGACAGTGAATTCCCTATGAATGCAAATGCTTTTGTGGCTAGTTAGTGATGTCATTGCGATGGTACTTAGGAAATCAGATGTATATAGTCTGTGGAAATAGCAAAACATGCTGTAAGGCTTTTCCATATGGCCATTGTGATCTGATAGGAGTTGAAATCTTTAAGGCAGTGCTGTGAAACTTTTACTGCTTTAGGCTGTTATTTATTTTAAATTTAACTTCCGTGTGTTCTTTGGCTGTCATGTGGTATGGTTACCAGGAGAAGTTGGGTACCTAGCTTTCTCAGTGCCCTGGGCGTGAGATGGAATGCGTTCGTGCTTTAAAGTTGACATCAGTATTTAAGACTGCGAGATGAATCCCTACAGCATTCTTATGCAAAAGCTGTTCATTAGCTGCCGTTCTAGTTTCTGATCTACATTTAGTTGCTATGTATGGCAGTTAAAAAAAGTTCCTTTGAGAACAGTGCTTCTCACAATGTAATGATGGAAACGTTGTATAGATTTTAAATCCACCTCTCTGGCAGTCTGATAGTTCTTAGTAATTGTGGTCGTGCCAAGCGTCATGTTGATCCATTCCCTAGAGGCAGATTATTTTACACTACTGTAAATTCTGGTGTGAGCATCTTCAGGAAGGCCACCTGATGGACTTCTCTGTCCCTCGTTAGCTGTCCTTCTCCAGGGCTTTAGGCTCGATGAATTGTTCGGTCTTGCTGCTTTGCAGCTTCACCTGTGATAATGTCACGTTAAAGGGGAGGGGTAAGGGGAGTCTGATATTCAACTAGCCTGCCAGAGCCCTTCGAAGGACTTTCACTGAAACAGTTTCGCAAAGTTGAAACAATAGGTAATTTATTCAAGCGACAGTTATCACAGATTCGGAATTGCCGTTGATAAAATCACTGTCTACAAAAGTTGAGCTCAAAGTAATAGTTTAGCGCTTTAGTTAACAATGTGTTCCCGGGGATACAGTCAGAGGCGCAACTCTTACCAAAAAGGCGTCCCTTCTTGTGGGGGGAAGAGACGTTCAGGCCCGTCGACCCGTCCGTCAGGTGAAGTTCTCGCTTGGCTCCTCCTCCCAAAGAGAGTTTTCAAGTGCCAATTTTTATATATTTGGAAACCTTTTTGCGAGGTGGGACTAAGTCAATTATTGTGTATAAAAATTACTTTTGTCTGATAAGATAAGCACCAGTTATTTACTTCCTTTGTTAGCTCTTCGGCTCTTGACACCTCAGTCCGTTTGTCTTTTGTCTTGCATTCCACAAGTCCAGCAAGGCCATCGATTACAGATAGAAAATGAAGATTGTAAGGGAGACCTGCACCAAGGATCTGGAGATATGTAGATCACCTTTTCCTTTCAAGAGACAAGTACAAGCTTTAATCTAAATAGATGCTGCTGATTGTTTTCCCTTGTAAGCACCGGAGTGCCACCAAGTTTCTGCAATTGCACTAGTACTCCCATGCCACTGTGGTGGACACAGGCAAGCAAACTGGAGGTGGTCCTGTGAGAGACACTTGTATATCAGCAAAGTTACCTTGAGTAAGTAGAGAGAATCCCTAGATCCTTCTGATGCTTTTCTAGTCCTGTAGTTATTGAGACTCATTTGCTTTTGTTATATCACCCATGATCTCAGAGTCCTGAGCAGGGTTCCGTAAGGTCTGGGTGCTTTCTTCACTCAAACAGTTACGGTATTTGGGTTAGGTGAAGCTTTTATTGCAGTGGCCACTGAATGCTTAGGTTCTTTTCGAGTGACCTGAAAAACCATTTGTCCATCTGCAGTGCTGAAGAACATCTACTGTTCGGCTCGATAACAAAGTCTGTTTGCTTTAGCATTGAGAGCAGTACTCTGCAGGACTTCTCTGCCATGTCCTTACCAATACGGATATCAAACAAGAAAGTCTGTGTGTTCACACTGAGAGATTTAAGTAGTATGTATATCTTTTCTTTGTTAAGGTTTCAGCATATCCATGGAGGGCAAAGGGGAGAACAAATCGTCAGGTTTATCCTCATTTTAGGCTGTTTATTTCCAATGTAATAGTACCGTCAAGCAGACAGCACTTTGAAAGATGCCGTACTGTGTTTTCATATAAACTAACAGTGTTTGCCCTATGTATTTCTGCCTTTCTTCTGAGAGATAAGGAAAAAGAATTTCCAAATCATTGAATTTTTTTTTTTTTTTAGTCACTGCAAAACCAAAACTATTTGGTGGAAATCAGAACTTCCTGCAAATCCTATCGTGTAAACCATGGAAGTGGTGATCTTTTGTAGTTGCAGACAAAATATGTCACCAAATATTTTTAAGGAGTTTGAATGTTTCTTTTGGTGTTTTCACTAGGCAAACACGCAGGTAAAATGCTGTAGTTACCTGGCAGTAGCCTTTGTTGGGGACAAGGATGGGCAAATTGTGAAACTTGGTGTTTTTTTTGCTTTCTATGTGAGGAAGCGTTGCATATTGAAAAAGAAATTTAAAAAGTGTATCACTTTCATCCTCTTCTGTGAATAAGATCTATGTTCTAAGTTTGTGTTGCTTTCTTTTATATGTATGCCTGTCTTAGTATTTGTGCTTCCCATCTGAAAGCTCAGCCTACATGTTTTATGTTATGGGGAAGTAAATTCCGACTTTTTAGAAACTATTGGGGAAAGTTAGATAAATTGAAAACAAATAGAAAAACATTGATAAATTTTAAGTAAGTACAATCTCTTATTTAAAAAAAAGGTAAGTGCAGATTATCTTCTCTTTAGCTTAAAGAGGGTGGTGTTTTTGTAACATGATAGTGAAAATTGGGGGTTTTTAGATTAACTTTGGTTTAACAAACTGTAGTTCAAGTCTCTTGTAATTCCATCACTGAATTTTTAAACAATGTGTTTAACCTCTATCAGTGACTTTTTTTTTTAGCTTGAATTCTGCAAAAAAATTAAATAAAAACTACTTTTTTTAGTTGGGTTTATTGTGAGGGGTACTTGTGTATGTTTTTCTGGAAACGGTTAGTTTAACTAGGTGTTTTGTTTTGTTTCATGAAAAATAATTAAGGTCTGTATCCACTGATTGGTTGGAAGATTGGGGAAGAAGTTGTTTACTTAACTGAAGGCTGTATGTCAGACATTGGCACTGCCATAAAATGGGCTCAGGATATAAGTAAGTAGTTCTTTAATTTCATAGAGGGTAAAATGTATTATTAAAGAAACTGTTTTATGGGGTTTTAGTTATGTTATTGGGCTTGCTTTTTATTATCCATAGTTGAAGAAACTAGCCTACATGTTTTGAACAGCGCAACATGCACAGTCTCATTAGTAGGCTCTCTGCTGAGTGCATTTGCTGCAGTGAGTTTGGTTTGCGCAATTTGCTCATCAGACTCTGCCTCTCAGACCCTCCTACCTATGTAGGCTTGTATTTTCCTGAAACATTTTACTCCACTTGCGCCCTCGTGAGCATAACAAACTTCCTGATGCTTTCTTTTGCTGGTTTTTTTTTGTTTGTTTGTTTGTTTTTAACCTGGTATCCAGACTTAAATAGAAGTGGTGTAAAGGAGACCTGTTGAAAGTGAGATGTGTGCTGCCTTAGGGTATTAGGACTTGACTTTTCAGTTGAGGAGAAGCACAGAAATTGACTACAGATGAAGTCTGGTTAGCATGATTGTAAACGCAATGTCACACAAACAGTTTCTGTAATGCTGTTGAGAGATGTCAAGCTGTACATCTCAGAATTAATAACAGGTTTTGAGTTATATGAAAATAACGTGAAGAACTTTCTTTTTAAACGGTGTTGTGCATGTTGATCCACATAGAAGTAATGTGCCTTTTGGCTGTGACTGTTATATACTGAGAAGATTTGTATTCCAGATTAATAAAAGACCAAGAAAAATACTGTCTCTACAGTAGTTGATGTTCAAAACCACTGATTGTTTACAGGACAGCATTTCTGAGTGTTCTAATAAACTATTTACTTGATTTGCTTAGAAATTTAATACACCTTCACCAGGGTGCAAAAAAGGAATTAGTGTCTCAAAGTTTGGGTTACCTAGAAAAGGTTTTCCTGAAGTGTAGCTCACCACAAAATTCCACATCTTTTGAAGCTGTCAACTTCTGGTGCATATACATGCTCATACATGTGCCCTTAAGGATGAAGTATGACTCAGATTGGTCCTCAGATCTTCATTGGTCAACATTTGACTGAACCTAAAGAATAACAGCCACTAGTGTTTTGACGAAATTAATCAATTCAATATGAATGCAGTGCTACAGATACAAGTATCAGTGGTACTTACAAGCTTGCTACTTTGAATTTCATACTTAAAATGGATGCTTATTCATATAGAAGTTATCCGTACTTAAAATGGATATTATTGGTAGTGCAGAGCAATAGTGTAACAGATTTTTTGCTAGTCTGTAGTGAAATAGACGTGACCTACAGTTGTTACCACAGGCAAGAACTGGGGAAGTTTTAGAGGGAGATAAAAAGACAGACATGCTGCTATAAACTCTCTAAGAAGTGAGACCTTTATTTTCTGGAAACATGATTGCAGAGAAGCAGAATTCAGAAAATTTTATCAGTTTTACGAGTAAAAAGAAGGGTAAAGCTTTTGCTTTATAGCAGGAATTGGGCCAAAACGCAAGGTAAGCTAATGGCCTCGGTAAGGGTGGTGAGGTACAACATGGATGAAGGTGAGAAATAGAGTAGTGGTAAAGTTTTGGAAATAGGAATTTGTGCAGCATGACAAACTTAATTTAATGGGCTTCTTTTAGTGGGATCAGATAATTGCCAAGAATTTTGAAGAAGTAGTATGTGGAATTTCAAGGTGAAGTCGATGTTACTTAGTTTTTGGGTTATCTAGAAAAGATTTTCCTGAAGTGTAGCTCACCACAAAATTCCACATCTTTTGAAGTTGTCAACTTCTGGTGCATATACATGCTCATACATGTGCCCTTAAGGATGAAGTATGACTCGGATTGGTCCTCAGGTCTTCATCGGTCAACATTTGACTGAACCTAAAGAATAACAGCCACTAGTGTTTTGACACTGTCCTGTCCTGACGTAGAGGTAGTATATATAGTTCAGTAGTAGCAAATACAAGAAGAAGGAAAAGGTGTGATTTAGTTTTTCAAAGATAAATTGAGCTAGATTAACCTAATTTATCCTTTGATAGGAGAATTTACTTTTGAGACAAGAAAAAGCAATAGCTCTCTAGTCTTCTGTAAAACATGTTATATGGCCACATAAGGACATTATTAGTGAAAACTACAGAAGATGGGTGTTAGTACAAGCATTGCATGTGGGTGAATAACAAGGTAAAGAGGGATATCTAAAGGACACATCTGTCTAGACAGAGAATAAAAGCAGTGTCTATCAAAGAGGTGGTATTAGGACCTACCTTATTCATATTTATGTCAGTCACTTGTAAAAATATTAAGGGTGCTGATAAAATATAATGGGCATTAAGGACTTTCTCTGTAGTCATTTGGTGACTGGGCTGAGAATAACATCTCTGAGGGGGAAAAAAATATGTTTTATGTTTTGCAACTCTAGGTTTTTAGCACACTTAGGGTGCCATTGTTAGCACTTTCAATTCCCATTTATGTCTAGTTGGAAAGCTAATGACCTCTTACAGGATGTGAAGATTAAAAGGCTATAGCACAACAGATATGAGAGGATCCTTTTGAATTTAGTCTTCATCTGAATAGGATTTTGTTTTAATGTAACTGATGGACATGAAATACAGGAGAAGCGATCATTTCCCTTGGAACATGTAGTTTGGGAATATTACAAAAGGAAATAGTCTAACTCTAGGTTTTCAACTCTTATTAATAGATGAAGAAATTGAAGTAAATAATAAAAGCATATGACTTAACGCATCTTTACAGATCTTTTCACCAATGTAGATGAAACAGAAAAAATGGCACGGAGTATTGTTGATTCTCAAGGCGTTTGTTTTGTTCCGGGTTTTCAGGTAAAATTGTTATTATTAATATAAATGAGAATATATTTTTGATAACCCAGTTAAAATTTTATCTTTTACATGTTTACATGTAGTAATTTACATCTTATCACAGTATTTATTCTGTAGTACTCAGGTTCTTATTCTCTGTCCCTCTCCATGACGTACGAAGATCATTGTCATACCAGAATGCTTAAACACCACCCCCACCATGAGAAAAACCCTATGAAATAGGAAAATTACTTCCACTTTGGAGATGGAGACCTGGAGGAGAGATAAACAAAATGACTTGCTCACAGTAATTCAGGCAGTGCCTGCAGAGACAGAAACTGATAGCTTTTCTGCCTGATGCAGAGCCTTCAATGCGACAATACTTCTAAGCACTTTTCTAAAAGAATTCATTTTTTTCTGCCTCTCTTCAAGATGTAGGTTGCAATTCATCAGAATACTTAAATGTATGTAAATATGAGCTAGATTGTAAGTCCTGATGTTACAAAAAGCAAAGATAGTAATATTTAGATGCTTCTTTGATATGCAGATTTTAATCTGAATTAGATTTTTCCGTTTAAAGCAGGGTTTGCGCCTTGTTGCTGAGGAGTTCCTGGCATTTGTTACCCACTTTAGTCCCCTCCATTTCCCAGTAGCTTGCCTTTACCTTGCTCTCTATTTGAGGAACTTCCTGCAATTCCTTGATCCCCTCCAGGTCACAGGCTCTGGGTTCTTTCTGCTTGCTTTTCATTTGTGCTAGAGACTTACGTATCCTCATGTCTGTCCTTTCCACCTCTGATTCACGATCCTTCTTGAATTTCATTACAGATGTGAGTTACTGTCCCTGTGCAGAAGCAGCAACAAGGGTGATACTGATGCTGCCATTCAGTCTAGCATTGCAATGGATAGGAATTCCGGTTAATACATTACATTAAATGACAAATTGTGGTAGCTGGGGAGCTGACATATGGATGGTTGGACTTGATGATCTTAAAGGTCTGTTCCAACCTTAATGATTCTATGATTCTTTACTGCCCGTTCTAACTACAGAGCAGTTGCTTCCTGTATGGGTTTGACAGTTGGTAATAATAGTTTGTAATTTATCACTTCAAAATATGACAGAGCTGCAAGTTGGAGCAGACAAACCTTCATACAGAATGAAAATAAACAGATTTTGCTAATGAGGCTGTTGCTAGCTTAGGAGCTGTACAAAGCCCCAAAACTTTTTCATCTAGTTCTGCCCCTTTCCGAAGCAACCTGAAATAATCTGGATAAAAGTTCGCTTTCAGCGGCATGGCTGTTTTTACATTATGGCTTTGTCAACTTGAAAATATTCATGTCTCCACAAAAGTGTTTTTTCTAACCAATGTAGCTGTCCAGGAGAAACTCTGTGGTGTAGCACTGGTCTCCAAGCTGCCATTTAGAATATTAGCGTTATAAACTCGATTGGGCAGATGGACCAGGCAAGATGAAGGGAAAGCTGTTGCTGTGCTGTGGGGGTTGACTGATGTCTGCCATCAGCTGGTTCTTTGAAGTATAGACAACTGATGTTTGAACCTTCCAGGTGTTCAAAAGTTACTGTGTTACTCAAGCAAAGAAAAGCTGTTAAGATTAAAAAAGCATTCTTTTTTTGCTCAAAAATCACCACCTTCTCTTTTCTCTTAGAAGTTTTAGATAGTAATTTGTTGAGTACATACATTTTAGAGCTACATGGAATATTTTTGACAGCTCATCTCTCTGTGGGTCCAGGAGTTCATTTTTTTTAGATCTTCATTGGTCTACCATACTCAGTTTCATCATTCCTAGGACTGGTGGTTTTTTTCTAAAGAAACTGAACATCTTCAGCCTTACCTTTGTGTTAGTCCTGTATGTTAACAGAACAAGGTGAAGAAAAATTTCATTTCTTTTGCAGGTAGCCCGGCTACCTTCTCTCAAACAGCCAACCTAATCATTATGTTTAGTTTTAAATACCTAAAGCTTGATTATGCTGAGATGCTTCCATTTACCATTTACTGTGTGTAATCGTGCTGTGCATAAGTAAATGTTGAGCCGTGCCAAATTTCAATATTTGCAGATGGGAATACTGAGGTAGACAAATGTTAGCCTGAACCTTTACTTCTATTAATATTCAAGTTTTAGAGATGTTTGTAAAATCTCTTTTTTGTTTGGTTGTTTTTTGTTTTGCTTTGCGGGTTTGTTTCCCCCTTGCTTTCTTGACACTGTCTCCAGAAGGAACCTCAGCTAGCTTCTTGGTATACATTGGTTCAGTCTCTTTTTCCATAATTCTAATATTACCAGTCCAAATTTAGAAGCTGTGCTTAAAAAACTGAATGGATTTCTCTCTGTCACATCTAGTTACCACTAATAGTATCAACCAACGTGAATTTCTTTGCCTGTTAAAAGCCCTGCTTGTTTCAGTGGAACGTGCGTAGCTTGTAGACTTGCAGTAACAGAATCTGTATAAATTTAAAACTGATTGGATTAAGTGGCATGAAAGGGGACATGAACAGAGTTGAACACTTCTGGGACTAACATGTCTGCTTAGCTTCACTGGCTAGATGCTAACACAAACTGATTGTATGGTAATATTTCTTAGACCTCAAAATGATAGTGGCTGGGCAGGGTTCTCATGAAGCCCATATGTTCATTTCCTACACAGAGTAAAATGTTTCACTGCTCATCCACATTAAGGCAATAAGAACCAAGTTTCTTTCTTACTGGATTCTACCACTGTGACACAGTGCACCAAGCGGAGCATCATTGTGAAAGTGTATTTGAAATTGAGTGAATATGTGGATTAATCATTTTTCCTCTTACTCATTCTGCTAGAAGCAGGGATTTCCAGGGCTAATTTGGTGCGGTTAGTAGCGAAAGCAAAAACTCTTCACAGAATCACAGGCGTATGCATATGTATGCATTGATTTTATTTTATTTTTTTTTTTAAATGATTGATTCTTTCAAGATACTCACCCTGATGTAGAGTATGGGTCTATGCTTTTTAGTTTATTACCTTATATATGAAAATCTGTAAACTTGGAAGCCGTGGATCTTTATTACGCTACTGGACTGGACAAATGGTTCCGTTCTTAGAATGGGAAGGGTACTTGTATACGGGGAACAAAAAGAATATTTTCTTCTACTGTAACGCAGAAGTTTATGTAGGAACTTTTGCAAAATGCCAGTTTTCTTTTTGTGACTGTATGTACTTATCCATAATTTTTTTTTGTTTGGTTGGGATTTTTTTAACATATTAGCATGTCCTTAATTTACTTTATAAATATGTGTGAATATCATGCTTATAAAATATATACAAACTTCTGGTAAGTGTTGTCATAATTAATATTTAGCACAAAACAACTGGAAAGGATTGTTTCCATTTAAAAATTACTGTCTACAGTGAAAATAACATTTAACATTGTCACAAACCAGGTATGGAGCAGCAAACTAATGTTTTTTGATAAAGTTCGTCAGAGAACTGGAGTGGTGGAGAGGAAATTCGTCAGTTGATCCTCCAGTTCTCCTGTAAAAAAAAGAGAACTTAGTGACCATTAGAATTTTAGTTGAACTCGGTTTATCAGTGTCAATAAAAACAGGCGGTAGTGTAAACTAATAAAAAGTACTACCATCCTTTGCAGCATTATTTTTTAAAGTCAGTTGATTTTTTCAGCAACATGCCCTGTCCTAGACACTTAAAGTGTACGCTATATGTGTTTTAAAGAGAAGTCATACGTATTAGAGTTATTTAGCCTGTCAGGTTTGGAAGAAGACACTTAAACCTTTTTCCTGTTGAAAAAAGCTATTTAAACTGTTCACTAAGTTAGCTAAAATAACACTATATACCTCTTACGTATTGTTTTCAATTTTCTCCTTTCATTATGCTGCCTGTAATTGTCGTAAGTTATTTTTTTTTTCTTACTATTTGACTCCTTTCTCAAAAGCCTACAAATACAATTCACTGAATTCATGGTGAAATCTTTTCTGCAGGTTTCTGTGAATGACCCATATTTATGTGCCTCTTTCATGGGGCTGAAGCCTTCCACTACCAGAAACCATCTTGTACGAGCTATTTTGGAATCTGTAGCTTTCAGGTACTGCTTACTTAATTATCTTGCTTAGATTTTCTTATGTTTGCTTCTATTTTGATCAGCAGCGTGAAATAGATACATGGACTTCTGCAGTTTGTAAAATATAAATTGCAGTAATCCCTTACTGTTACACTGAAAAGAAATTTTAGGTGCTTTCTTTTTTGTCTTTCACACTTTACAAATAAACTCCTGTATATTTATTAGTTCAGAGTTTTTGTTATTAAGTAACCATATAGGGAGTCTTAAATTACATTGTCTGCATGTTCTAAAAATGTTTTCTGTTTAAAGTTTGTCCTTACTGTCCTGACAGTGTTTTGTCATAAGCTGTAGCCCACTCCAGCTGTGTTTAAAGTATTCCTGAAGCTGGAAGTTTTATATTAGCTCCTTGGCTAAAGCTGGAATTTTTAGTGTTTTATAAAACAGTCATAGGCATCTTAAACGTCTGTAAAGATGTGAATGGGCAATGACTTCCAGAACTAAGTGTCAAGGTTAAAGATAATACTGCTAGTCACTGATGGTATCGTATCAGTAGCTCACCGTGGAACAGATCGGTGCTGCCTCGCAAACCCCTGCAGCATGCCTCCAACTGAAGTTGAGTATGGTTTGAGCCTGGCTCGTGCTGCACTGTGGCCGGTTGGGGAACTCTCATGATTCCTTCCATCTAGTCACCAGCTCTGCTTTGGGCATAATAACCTCCTGCAAAGAGGCAAAAAGATGTCTGGAGGGAGGGAACATTCTGAATTGCTGCGGCTGTTTCTAATGCTTTTTTTTCTGCACTGTAAGAGGAATGTGAGATGCCCTAACTCCTGAACTGAAGCATGGGTCTCTTGAGAACAGGGATGCTCAGAATCTCATCTCATTCAAATACCCAGCTAGCAAAGGGTAGAGATCCTTTGTGTTCAGATTTTCTCCCATTAAATGAAATGGTTTCAGAACAAGTCAAACTTACAGCCTTCAGATGTTCCCTTTAACGAACGGCTGGATAAACTCCGATTAACACTACATCAGCTTACTTTCCTCACTTTAAACCACTTGTTACATCAACAATTGCATCTTGTCTGTGGAAGCCTATCAGCAATTTCAGGTGTGAAAATTGTACCTTGTACAGTGACTTGCTATAGAGTGGGCTGTGATTTAGCCATACTTGTGCCTTTGTAATGATGCGTAACAAAGACCAGTTTCAGTCTTTCCCCCCACCCCTTTTTTTTTAATTTATGCATTCTGGAAACTTGTTAGCTATTGCAGCAGTTATGATACAACTGAGGCATGTTTTTGCCTTGTATTTTATTTTCTGACTATGTAGATACTGGAAACACTTTATGGAATGTATAATGCTTAATGCAACTAAATATTCTTTTAAAGAAACAAACGGCTTTATGATATCATTGTGAAGAAGGTACGCATTCCTCTTCAAACTGTTCGGTAAGTTCCTTGTAAATTTGATATATGGGAGTTTGATTTAAATAGGTGTGAATTTTATTATGCGTTTTATTTTGCTGTGAAAATTCTACTGCTAAGAAACAGATGACTACCAAGTCAAATGTTAATGTAACTTTAAAAGTAGCAGTAGAGACTACCCACAGAACAGTCAGTTATTAATTAAACCACTGGCATTGGTGATTGTCAGGAGGTGAGTAATGAATTGCTCTAATTATTTTTTTTTTTTTAAAAAAAAGCATATGCATGTTTTCAGGTAGCACTACAGTGCAGATAGCCTTCTACAAAGGTCCTTCTACCCTTTATTAGCATTCTTTCATACTGAAACTTTTTGTGCTGAGACTGTTGCAGACTGAATATTCTCTGAAGATGTCAGTTAAGACTGGATCTATTTGCGAGAAAAAAGAGGAAGAATATTTTTACAGTTCAATTGTTAAGACATTGGTTTTGCTTCAGTCTTTGAAGAAGCAAATCAAATTTAGTGAGGTAACTGTGATTCCTAGGATATGCTTTTCACAACATCTTGAAAAAATTTAGCTGAGGTATGCGTTGCTGTAAAACTACATTGCACATTTTGGTAGATACTTCATTTGGATACACCAGTTGGCTTAGAGCCTCACAGAGAAAGGTCTCCAAAACTTCTCCTTCTGGCTGCCAGGGGTCATCGTGATACCACAGTCAATAACAGAGAGGAGAGTGTTCCTGTCCCTCTTGTGGCTTTTTTCCTCGTACCCATGCTAAGGAAGAAGTAGACAGACAGACATGTAGACAGTTGAGAAATCAGACTTTTGAGTAGTGGAGGAAAGGTGAAAGTAAAAAGTTGGAGGGAGGTAAAAGTTTGTCTTCCATCATGTGCTGGAACAGAGCAGGCGAAGATGAAGGAACAGCCAGGCTTGGGGTTTTAATGAAGAGGAAAAAATCAAAAGTATTGGAATTTTTAATTCCTTAGAAAGCTTTTTTACATAGAAAATCTGACAAGTCATATTAAGACTGTGAACTAAAAAACGAGAAGCGTGGAAGTACTGCCTAGGAAGCATTAGAATTGTGATCCCAATTACATTCTAATGTAAACTTTAAATTGTATGATCATATTCTGCTTTATTTGTTAATATAAAATTACTGTTTCATACAGTGACTACAATAGTTAACTATGATTAGTAGCAACTCAGATTGCAGATTAAGCATTAGAAGATAATGAGATACAGTTAATGGCTTTTTCAGCAGGGTTGTAAAGTGCTCTCCCATCCTTTTGTCCGCGCGTCTTTAGTATCCATTACCTTTGATTTTTTTCATTGTTGTTGTTTTTGTCCCATAAATATGTTCATTCCCTTTTCTAGCTGTTGTCCTGTATCCCTCATTTCTTCCCGATCCCTGGCTCCTACAAAGTCAGCATTTTCATTAGTCCTCTACATTCCTATTACTTCTCTTTGCTTGTCTCAACACCATCAGGGAAAGCACAGAAAAGGAATCCTCAGTTTTAGTCCTCACGTCCTATATTGTGGCAGTCTGCGGCAGCCTTTACAGGGATGATCCTGGTGGGCCCTGGAGTCCTGGAATGTCACCTATTTACTTGTTCTGTGAAACAGCACATCCCTAGCCAAATGGCGTGTTGGAACTTTGAGCTAGAAGATGTAATGTACGGATAGAATCCTCCAAGTATCTAGCAGCAAAATTAAGCTAAATGTAAAAATGAGTATTTGAAAATTTTCTTTCTTTTTTCCTCTTATAACTTGAATCAAATGGATGTCTTATTTCCATGGAAGAAGGAAGACACATGTCACTGGCATTAAGAAAGTGACTTTGCCAGTTGAAGGTTTTTATGCCATAGTGTAGAGGTGGTAACACTGCTCAACTGTATGTACAAACAAGCGAAACCCTGTAACATCACCAATCAGGCAGTGTCTCCTGATTTTACTTCCAGAAACAGCCAAAACATGCAAAAGTTTTCTGAGGCATCACATAATAGTACAGAAGATTTCAGCTGGCGTATTTGAATGGAAGATTTCTAAGTGACTGACAAGTTTTGTTACCCAACACCTCCTGTAGTAATAAACAGTCGATGTCTTTACTGGACCACATTTGATAGAACAACAGCTCCAAACCTAGCTGGTATTGGAGTACAACAGTGTGGCAAACCAATCTATGACAATTCAAAGATCGCTTTTTGTTATAGTTATTTTTTGTTTGCAAGAGTGATTGCTTTGCACCACTAGTAATCACTCTCAGATGATTAAAGATCAGCATTGCTAAGTTCTAGTTTTCTCCATTAAAAGGGTCTCCGACATGATGCAATTAGGAAAATAGACAGATGGAAGCCTCATTCTCATCTTCCTCGTGAAAAGAAGCAACTGTGAAGGCATTTTAGCTAATGAATACAAAGATTTGGTAGTAATGAAAAAAGTACTTTTCCAGATCTGAGAACACTTGAAAGGGTTTGTTTAATGTAATGGGTTTGGCTGTTGTCATGTTGTGGTGATAACTATGTAAAGGTTCTATTACAAACCCTAACATTTCAACCAGAATGATGTATAGATTTAGAAGACAGAGCTTTCAAAGCTTTTGATAATGTGTGTGTCCTGTGTCCCTGTCTGTCTGCCATTCCTCCCCAGTTTATAGGCATTCTTTTTTTTTTTTTTTTTTTTTTTTGGTATCTTTTGCTTGCCTCTAAATTTGCTCATGAAATGGATATGTATTTGTGCATGAGTGACAGGAAGATTTATGCATAGGTGTGAAACCCCAGAAGTTTTTTTATGAAATGTTGGCAATAAGCATTTGAAGTAAATGCATTTTTTTAACTACTTCTTCCTCTCTCCCAACAGAGCTGATGGAGGTGTCAGTAATAATAGTTTTGTCATGCAGATGACTTCAGATTTAATTAATAAGAAAATAGAAAAACCTGCAAGCGCAGACATGTCTAGTCTTGGTGCAGCTTTTCTAGCAGGCCTTGCTTCAGGTATGTATACATTTAAAGGGGTTTTGTTTTTCCCTTCATAATGCATATTTGTAAACACGGAGGAAGAAAAATCATAAAAAAACAGGGCAGAACTTCAAATAATTGTAAAAACGCCCAAAAGGATTACTTTAGCCATTTTTGTGGAAATCCAAGGTAAGTAATGTTCATTTCTCTGTGTAGTGCTTTGTACCTGTGTACTTGTATCTGATGGACCAAAGAAACAGATGATAACATCATACATAAACCAAATCAAGGACCTTATTTGTATTTCTAACACAATATCCTCATTTACTGGGCAGTTGTATGCTTGTTTAGTTTTACATACATGAACAGTGACAGTGAGTTTAATGTGAAAAGTATCTGCATATATGTTCATAAGATTCATTTACATTTAGAAGGATGTATTACTGGAGAAGAACGAGGTGAACCCACTCTTTGCTGCCTCCCTCTCTCTTGACCCAAACACTCTGCATCCCATCCCATGCTGGCACTTCCTGGAGCGGTGCTCGGTGGGGTTGGATCACAGGACAAGGAAGCTGCCATGCTTACATGCAGCTGTGTCATTCATACTGAAGCTGTGTCCTGTCATCTGTGAACCGAGTTTTTCTTCTTTAAGGTTTTCACAGAAATAAACACAATAGAAGTGAAATATAAATTACTAACAGGGGAAAAAAATCCAGCTCTACTTACACAGAATTGTATATAATTAGCCAGACTTAAAACTACAAACTGTCAATGGTTTTGCTTCATGGAAGTGTATTTTGTAGGTGGATATTAACTTCATACAGTTGCTTTGATATGTACATAACACAACTGTAAGATAAAAATTATATGGTCAGGTAAGACTTAGCAATTAAAACTGTAAGAGAGCTGTAACCCTCGATAGGCAAGAGTGATTCAATAGCATAAATTAATCTGAATACGTAACACCAGCTGTTTTCTGCCATTTATGCAATTTTTAAGACAGTAGAAGGGAACTAGTGTTAAGTCTTGGTTTCTGTGGCCCTTCTTTGTTGAGAGGGACCTGCAGCTGAAAGCACAGTGTGGATGAAACCGAAGGGAACTTCAGTGTACCAGAGCTGTTCCTTGGAAACCGGCCCAGTGAAGCAGATGTGCTGTTGTCAGGATTCCAAACAAGTGGATGCTATTGGAAAGGGGTTTCACAATGTTAAAAATATGCTTCCCTCTGAGAAAGTTGTTGGTTGAGTAAAGAAAAGCTGTCATGATTTCTTACTGTGTTTCTGCTTTGGATCTCTTGGAAATAAATTAAAACAACTCAAAAATAACATTTGTAGTTGAGCTTGAGAATGAACTTTCTGTTTATAGGATTTTGGACTGACAAAGAACAACTAAAGAAGCTAAGGCAAATAGAAGCCGTTTTTGAGCCCCAGAAGGACTCGGAGGAATACAGACCTGCTATGGATACCTGGCTACAGGCAATGAAACACTCCCTGCACTGGTAGAATTTGGCATTTTAATTACAGAAGAATTAAAATGTTTTAATTCATATTTATAATTTTAATATTATCAGGATAGTAAAAACTATAACTGAAATTTGTGATTATACATATATATATATAAAGTTCTATGGTAGTTCAGTTACCCCCCTGCTGCTAGATTACTCACCATGCCATAATGAACCTTCATATCATCCCTATGACAGCTGTAGTCCAGCTGCAGCGTTTGTGTCCCTTCAGTGACCTCCTTTCGGTGGCCCAGCTGCTAGAATCCTACCATGTACTAGAGATGGGGAGGTTTTTTCCTGTGAAGGGTTTTCTGCTGAGGAAAATATTCGCCTCCCTTCTGATCTGTAAAAATTGTGGTATGTGAATTATTAAGGAAGGGTAAAGGGCACATATACTTCCCAAGGCATTTCTAAGAAAAGTAAAATGATTGCTGGGGAGCAGGTTGTGATGAACTTGATTGTGTGTAAAGATATTTTCTTATTAGTAGCCTGTTAGCACCTTTTGGTTGACTTTCTAAGGAAGCATTTGGCCCAGCTCTGTGATGACATTTTTGTGCACTAAATTAAGATGAAATACAAAAGGAAATAGACTTTCGGTACTCCATTAAAACAAAAAAAAAACACAGGATTTTTGTAGTTGATGGTTCCTATCTAGTTTGTAGCTCAAATTTTTAAATTTTATAAAGACCAAAAGATATATTATCTGGCACGGCTAATACAAATAGATTAAAAGTAGTTACAGGTATGCTATCTAACTTGTAAAAATCTGTAACATTACTATTTTCAAGCCCATTGTTACATCTTAGTAACTTCAAGGGGTCAAAAGTCTACTTTTGAAGCTATAAGTTACTTTTATATGTTGAAAATAAATGATAATTGAAGAAATGCATAGTTATGTATTTTGTTTACAACTGATCTTAAATTATTACAATTTTCTCAGGAGTGTGTGTAAATCAGTTTCAAAAATGTAAAATTATTAAACATTTTCTTTTCAGAATAACATCAAATTCAAGCTGTGGGTGATTGCATTCCACAGACAGAAATATTTATAGATTTAACATTATTGAAGAGGGCCAAAGAACTATCATTCAGTTTTTCTCATGCTGAAATGAGAAGGTGAAATCATACACCATTCCCTTAGTTTCTTTCACAGTCATCTACCATGAGTTGGAGCATCTACTCTACCTGTGGTGTTCTTCAAACTAGACCTCATTGGCCTGACACCCTTATCTTAACACACCGTTCTTCTGTTGCTTCCTGTCTTCAACCTGTGCTACATCTTGGCACTTTTCTTTTTTCCTGGGTATCCTTCAAGTTGCAGAGACCATTCTCTCCTGGACCCTCTTTAATGAGAATCCTGAACTGAAGTCCAGAAACAGGTCTGTTTGATATCTAGTAATATGGCAGACTACACAATGTATATAGTTGGTAGCTCTATAGATACTTCTTTTTTTTTTTTCTTTTTGGACCATGAAATATGGCCGTCCAGGTGCCAAGACTAACAGAAAGTGCATTGGTGAGGTTCCCTCCACTCTTCCACCTGCTGTAATGTAAGAACCTGTAGTTACAGGATACATGAACACTTGCTTTGCTTCAGCACCCATGTTCAGTTTGTGATTTTCTCTTGTCATCTCAGCCTCACTGCTAAAGAAACTGCTCATTGGCAAGAAGGTTCTCCTAGACCAGACAGAAAGGCTTTCAGTCTGGCATTTTGAGCAGAATACCAGTCGCTGGTATTCTACGCTTTGTTCTCACTGAAGGAGTTCAGTTTCATCAAGGTCTGCCTAGGGATAACATCTGCATGTTACCCTCTTGACGAAGGCTTCCTGACTTACGTTCACTTAATAGTTCTGTGGGTTTGTCCATGGAATGTGGAAAGAGGGGCAGGCCACTTGGGAAGAGTACAGAAACGTGGTGAGAGCATGCAGGGATGCGACGAGGAAGGCCAAGGCTCACCTGGAATTGAAGCTGGCAAAGGATGTCAAAAACAACAAGAAGGGCTTCTTCAACTACATCAGCAGCAAAAGGAAGGCTAGGGACAACGTGGGGCCGCTGCTGAATGAGGCGGGTGTCCTGGTGGCAGAGGATGCG